AAACTAGCAAGCCACATGAATGTCTGGGAGCAAATTAATTTTATCTGCTACACAATTATGGTCAGGATCCGTTGAATTTTTGAATATTGGGTTGCCGATTAGAATTTTCTAAAGGGGGGTTCGTTTAGCATGAAATAACTAAAGGATAAGTTAAAAAAGAAAGTAGAAAGAAAGTGAGGTCAAAGAAAAAACAATTTCTGCTAAAAAAATAGCAAGACCTAAACATGTCAGATGTGTGTATCTCACACTGTACTGTCATTTGTATTCATGTACCTTTGTTATTCATGTTTCATTATCTTTGTACCTTTGTTATTCATGTTTCATTATCTTCGCTTTGAAATGAGTGTTTTTAAATGCCATTTTATATCTTTGCTTTTAAATTAGTTTTTTTAAATGCCCTTTTATAATATGTTTCTTAATGCTCTTAATGTCTTTCATTTTTGTAAAGCACTTTGAATTGCCTTGTGTTGAAAGGTGCTATATAAATGAACTTGCCTTGCCTTGAATGGCATTGTTTAATGTATTTTTAAATCATCTTTTTATCTTGGTGCAGACTGCAGGCCCTGAAAACCTTTTTGTGAATTATCTGTCAAGGATCCACAGAGAAGAGGTAGGCTGACTGTCATTTCTATTAAAAAACATAAAGATATACCCTATAAAAATGTCAAAAGCAAATCTTCTCCCTCTCTGTTGGCAGGACTTTGACTTTGTGCTGAAGGGCCTAGCTCGTCTGCTGACCAACCCTTTGACTCAGACTTACCTGCCTAACTCTACAAAGAAGATCCAGTTCCACCAAGAGCTGTTGGTGCTTTTCTGGAAGCTTTGTGACTTTAACAAGGTAAGAAAAAATAACAAAAAATTAAATGTTTGTTTGATTAGGAGCTTTGTTTTATTCAACAACATCTCTTGTGTGCTCCCATGACAGAAGTTCCTGTTTTTTGTCCTGAAGAGTAGTGATGTGCTGGATATTTTGGTTCCTATACTCTTCTACCTGAATGATGCCAGGGCTGACCAGTGTGAGTTTCAACCCAGTGTTTTCAGATGGTCCTTGCACCCAAGAAATCTCTAATAAACATTTAGTTAAAGGTATCAATATATTATAGGTCTCAGAGATATACAAAACATGTCTCTGAAGTGTTTGGTTCGAAATACCAAACAGATCATGCATTGTAGCATCCCATAATCCCCTCTGTTTCAGCCCTGTTTAAAAAGTGCTGATTCTCTGTCTTTTACTTTAGATGAAAATAAGGAGCCACTCCCCACGCCCCTCTGAGAGATATTTGGTTAAAAAGAACACCATGTTACTCTAGGAGGAGATTCAGGTGATAAGGTGGTCGGGTGTTACCTTGGCTGGTTATTGGCTAATGGTTACACAACCCAAAAATCGTTATGACATCACTAAGTGGCCAAAATCTGATCAGCTCATTTTCAGACAGGTTTTTATATAAATGGATCAGGACAAAAAGTGATCTTTTCCTGAAACTTTCAGAATCTCTTTACACAGAGGGGACACATGATTATCTATGAAAGAAATGAAAACATGGATTTTGCATAATAGGTGACCTTTAATTATATTCTGATGTGTTTTATGGCTGCAGCCCGTGTTGGACTCATGCACATTGGTGTGTTCATTTTGCTGCTGCTGAGTGGAGAGAGAAACTTTGGCGTGCGTTTGAATAAGCCCTACTCCGTCCATGTGCCTATGGACATCCCTGTGTTCACGGGGACTCATGCCGACCTGCTTATAGTGGTGAGTGGTGACTACAGATTCTGAAATGGTCTTAATTCCTGCCAAATATAGTTACAGTTAATGCTCACAACTGTCACTGTCTTTGTTTTGTAGGTGTTTCACAAGATTATCACCACAGGCCACCAGCGTCTCCAGCCTCTGTTTGACTGCCTACTCACCATTGTTGTAAACGGTGAATTGCTCTGGCGCCATGTGTCTGGCAACACACACCTCTTATTTGCAGCATCAATTACTTAAAATTTTTATCATCTCATAAGAAATAGATGCCACTTAATCAAATAAAAATGGTTATAGTTTTCCTTATTTAATGACATTTCTCATCCTGCAGTGTCTCCCTATTTGAAGAGCCTTTCCATGGTGGCAGCCAATAAACTGCTCCACCTGCTGGAGGCCTTCTCCACCACCTGGTTCTTGTTCTCTGTAGCCCAGAACCATCACCTTGTGTTCTTTCTTCTTGAGGCTTTCAACAATATTATCCAGTACCAGTTTGATGGTAAGGAAAAGCTGACATGTAACATAATGTTGTATTTAATTCTCTTGTAAGGATTTTAACCGCCTTTTTCCTTTTGTGGTCAAGATCAATGTGTTAGAATAAAATGAGTAAGACATGTGTAACATAATAAATCCTTCCCTCTTTCCATCACTTCAAGGAAACTGCAACCTGGTGTACGCCATCATCCGAAAACGCAACGTCTTCCACCAGTTGGCCAACCTGCCCTCTGATTCTGCCTGCATCCAGAAGGGTTTGCAGAGGAAGAGGAAGACTCCGGATGTCATCTCCCGCACCAGCTCTCAGGAGACTGTATCCATGGAGGGCTCGCACCCTGCTGTGCCGGCAGAGCCTGGCACACTGAAGACCAGCCTGGTTGCTATACCAGGTACTGACATATTGGGTGTTTCTCAATGCCGAATACGCTTGCTTGGTAGCACATGTCTTCCGAGTCACTTGCTTCAGAAGCGAGGCAAGAACACTTCCTGGCATTCGGAAAACGAAGAGTGGAGCAGGCGAGCAAGTGTGCAGGTGTGCGTCATATGAGAGGCCCCGCCTTACAGTTTCCGCCACAGATTTGGGGAAATTGGTCCGTGCGCAAAGCATTGTGGGGGATTTTAAGACCGCGGAGTCTACACATGTGCAGCCTCGAAATTTCTCGCTACAAAGTACGCCGGGCTCGGTAGAATTCCAAGTATGCTGGACATTGGAACAGTCCTTTGGTGGCCCTCGATGACTTAGTATGCTTGAAATAGTGTCTCTGGAGCAGCTTTACTCGACATTGAGAAACGGCCATTATCCCTTGTTGTGTTATTGAAGGGTTAAATTGGATCATAGGTCAACTTGATATGTTAAGACATTGACTACTAAATAACTTTTGACTGTAGGATGGGTGTCTGTCCTATGTACAATCTTACACAAGTTAAACACAAAAATAAGCTTATTGTCCTACATAATAAGAGGACAAACAAACATTTACTTACATTTGATAAAAAATAGTTATCCAAACAGATTTAAATAGTGTATTGTTTTCAAAGTTTTGCAGTAGCAACTATTAACTGCAGGAAGAAATTGTAGAGTCGACTGAAAATAAACTTTAGTACCAATGTTTATCGTAAAAATTAATCAGTTACACAGGGGAAATGTCCAATTGTGTTTTTATTGGCTGTTGGACAAAAACTGGAGCTCTGTGGTACAGAAGAATACACTACTGTGTTTTAGATACACAGACAATACTTATACATGTTGTTTTTTGCTGTTTTCATGGGTTTGTTTGACAATTAGAAAAATAAATTAAATCACCAGACGTATCTTGCAAATAAGGATTGGCTTTCTGTGTTTTTGCAGCTATAGATAAACTGACCGAAAAGTCCCAGGTGTCAGAGGATGGCACCATGGTGTCGGTCCAAAAGACGGGCGCCTCACAAGCAGCCCCCTCAGAGCAAAGTGCAGTCGCTGGGACCAGTGACACAGAGTCCAACTCAGGCAGAGACAACGAAGTAAGTGTGTGCGTTTGTGTGCACGTCTCTGTTTAAAAGAATAGCAAAGTTAGTTAATCTTTTACTTTACATTATTAGGATGTTTTCTACACTGAAGCAGAAATGGAGAGAAGGCGTTTTTCAATAGCGTCTTCAACATCTTCTTGGGCTCCAACACCAGAATGGGTCAGTATCTGATTTTCCTTTCAGCCTCTCCTATTTTAGATGTGGCAGAATGTGTAACTGATCTGAATTTATCTTTATTGTCCCAGGTCCTCTCCTGGAAAAGTAAACTTCCCCTGCAGACTATAATGCGACTTCTACAGGTGCTGGTTCCCCAGGTGGAGAAGATCTGCATCGACAAGTACATAAACGATTTCTCTTTAATCGCCATGTCATATCTTTTGAAATGTTACCTTGTTTTAATGTGTGCTCACTTGTCTCACTGCAGGGGTCTGACAGATGAATCAGAGATCCTGAAGTTTCTCCAGCATGGTACATTAGTCGGCCTGCTGCCAGTTCCTCACCCTATCCTCATCAGAAAGTATCAGGCCAACGCGGGCACTGCCATGTGGTTTCGCACCTACATGTGGGGGGTTGTTTATTTGCGGTAAGTCAACCACAAGAGCTGAGAATTATGCAACAGTCTATTCACACTGACTAAACACCTACATCTGATTTTGATTTTCCAGCAATGTGGACCCTCCTATCTGGTATGACACTGATGTCCGCCTTTTTGAGATTCAGAAGATGTAAGCAGAAGACCAAAAATGGAACTGTTCAACTCCAGGGTTTCTCCTCCCTTCATTATCCGCTTGGCTCCTGATAAACCTCACTGTGTTTAACTTGCCTCCCTAATCATCAACATTTATTCACTACCAACTTTGGTGGGCAAGTAATTCGTAAGGGGTAGAGATACCTTTCAGATAATGGGAGATGATTGAATTATCAAAATTGCCCATGAACTACTGTGTTTTTACGTTTCCCAAGAACATAGAATGTCTGGAGCATTTACTGAAGGCCGAGGCTCTTTTCTTGGCAGCATACCAGTCAAAGATTAAATATTGGTAAACTTTGTCATCAGCTCTTACTATAGAATATCATTTCCAAGAGAGGCTTGTAAAATATCCTGGAGGGCACACTATTGGTGTTTCACGTTATTTGTTGTAATTGCCATGCTTTAAGTGCACTCTCAACTGGTTGTCTAATAAAATGGATGTAGTTTGTGACAATTTACGCTACAGGATTTTGGAGACAATTATACAGATTGTATGTTTTTATGTGTATGACCAGGTTTTTGTTTGGATCTGGTCGGCTATGCTTACAATGCTTGATGTTGAAAATTGTATTTTACGTAAATGATCCTGAAAATATATATTATTATGCATCTGTGAATGTTGGGTTGGTTGCATTCTTGAGCTCTGTGCTTTAATGGGAAAGACGTGAACTACTACTAGGTCACACTTTAGACTTTATCAACAGTGTAGAGTCTCAACAATACTGAAAGAAAACTTAAATTCTCACTGAATCATAACTGCTAAACTATTAATTGTTTAAAGTGAAAAATAGATATTTTGGACCATAACCACTAGAAGGCACTATTGCCCCTTTCCAGCAAGCAACCAGTAAAAGTATATGTTCTTGTGAAATACTGGGTACCCCTTGAAGCCTCTAAAAAGGATCAAATCAATACATAATCATAATTAATATGCAATTATATTATCTATACCCAAAACAAACCTGTTACACGCAGTTAGTACTTTAAAAAGGGTAAAAGTCATAAGGGTTGAAACCATTTGTAATGTTTACAGTCCAGACAGTTTCTTTTGATCCTTTAAATAAAAACCTCTGTCCTTTGCTAAATTGACCATGTGCCTTTGAGGAAAAATACAAAATCCTGGTCATAAATAATACATTTAAATGCTAGTGCCTGTAAAGTGCAGCACATTATGAAAGGCATATCCATCTTAAATACAAATTAATATTTTTATTTAAATGTTGGCCAACAAGTTATACATGACATGTATTTTATGTTTCAATAATATTTATTAATATAACAAGGTCAATGTATACGTTTGATAAATAAAAATGGACATTAAATTCATACGTTTATAAAATTACTCTGCATTCCCAAACACAAGTCCATCTACGAGATTACGTACACCTCAAAGAGACTGGCGACAGAGTGCATACGGTAGAAGATTCCAAAAGGAAGTCCAATATTCACAATGGCCGTCCACATTGAGACTTTGTAGAATTGTATCTCTATGGGATGATCAAACTGGGGACGAGCACCAAAGGCGGGCATGATCCACAGCTGCAGAGTAAGAAAATAAGGACACGTTTAAAACAGAAACATTATTGATCATTGGTTTGTTTCAATATAAATCAATGAAAGAAAATAAGCTTAAACTTACAATAATGTTGGCAAGCAGTAGAAAGGCACAGACTTCCTTTAGTACTCTTCTCTTCCAACTAGGCTTATCACGGCTTGAAGTCAGGAAGTAGCTGGACTTATGGCTTTCCTGAACAATGATAATCTCTGGACGTTCCTGGAAAGCATGAGCGTTTGTGTGCAGAGCCGCTTCCTGCATCCCATGGAAGGGCTCCCGATGGAGTCCTTCGATGATGAAGTAATTCTGCAGGCCGAGCTGTAGCACTGTCAGCAAGGCCCAGGTCAGGTTGAGGGCGTTCAGATATCCTCTGGCTTCTGTCGCCACCACTGCCACGATAGTGAAATAGCTGATGATGAACTGCCCAAGTGAGGCTCCCACCAGCAGCCCCACATCCAGGCTGCGGGTTGGATTCTTCTCAGATACGTGCTCCCTGTGGTCCAACCTGTAGATGATGCAGCCAATCACAGTGGAGAGGGACATCATGCTCACTATCACTATATTCATGATGAAATGGATCAGCAGAGCCTTGTCTGTTTTCTTCACATCCCCTGTTTCTATGTCCACCTCATACACTATGAATGTTGCAAGTCCTGCCACCACCAGGAGGACGCCGGTCAAAGGTCCCAAACACACATCCCCTATGCGGAACTTGATCTTGTGATGGCTGTGATCGTCCACAAGCCGACCAATGTTTTTCCACATGACGTAGGCCATAGCCGAAGCAAAGAGACTATATTCTATGTTGAAGGGATACAGGTAGTAGGAGGCCTCTTTGAAGGTGTAGCATGCCGAGTAACTGCAATTACACTTCTTATTGACAAAGCTGGCTGAAATGGAAGATTAAGTTATTTTTCTCTTATTGATGCTAAAATAAATCTGAAAGAGTTGAAAATAAACCATCTCGAAATACCTCTGTACATCCTTTGTGAGACATTGTAGTTTAGATCAGGAATGTCAGTCTGGTGAAGAGATTCCTCAGTGACGGCTGCCATCCATACCACCAGGTTAGTTGAAAGCGTAAGAGTAAGCCCACATCTGGAAGAATGAAAACATGAGTGTGCAGCAAGAATAGGTATATTTTCTGATGAATAAAGAAAATAATTTACCGTGTAAAATTTGTGTGTAGCTGCACACAGTCCTTCACATGAATCCACAGGAAATATGTCTAAAAAGCCAACAGGGTTTTGTTCAGTTTTCCCAACTCATCAACAGATTGCATGTTCTTGCAACGCATTAAGATAACGTTTTTAAAAATAAAAACAACCTGGACAAATAGAAACACAGCTTGGACGACAGGAAATGCAACTTTAACAGCAGAGTCGCAGTGAAGGTAGCCCACAGCGGTGGCAATCTTGAAGATGTCCATGATGACACTGAGAATTCCAAACAGTAGAAGTCCAGCTGGAACAAAAACATTAAAGTGCTTAAATCTTGAAATGACATACACCAAGAACCTAAACCAAGAATGAACTGACCTCGGAGCCATGCAGGCCCCGCATGGCCATCTCTGAACGAAACAGCCTCATCCTTTCGTGAGGTGAAGACTGTGTAAAACAGCATCCACAACATTGTGAGGAGTAGGAGAATGATGAGGAAGATTTGCCTGTGTACAGCAGTAATGGCCACACTGTTGAAGGCACTTCCACTGACCAGAGCGCAGCCCAGGATCAGGATGTTGATGCAGATAATGCCAGACAGGAGCCATCCACCACCATGGTGGGCCCTCTCCATCACTGCCTCAATATGGTGAATGCTGTCCCTAACACTGGTATTATGGGAAGGACTGGTCAAATGTTGGATGTTGTCCATCTGTGCTGCTGTCTCCATGTTGGATGGATGGGCCTCCACAACATCATTTAGAGTTTTTCTACAAAAGAAAACAAGTTTAAATTTTTTTTTACAGTTACCAGCTGACAAAATACAATTTATGAGCCTTCACTGAAATATTTTCAGCCTCAATATTTCTAAGATTGAAGGTTTATTTTTCAAAAAGAAAGTTAAATTATCCCTTTAAAATGCCCCCGACTCCTTCATTAAAATACACAGAATCTCTAAACATGCAAATAATTTCCACTTATAAATTAAATTATTGGACTCATCCTCCAAGTTTATTCAATCGTCTCCTTTACAAACAAAAGGGCATTAGAATATCCAATACACATTTCAATATTAAATCGAGTCCAGTAGGGTATAACATAACATATTACACTAATCTGACGGTGTCAAAAGAAAAAAGTTATAATATTCCTTTATGTAGAATGTGGATTGATCAGATGATGTATTGGATCGCATTTAAAAATTGTAATTTGTGTACCAGAAAGAGTGTCCAGGGCCTGCAACTTACAAGTTAACTTAACATTTAAAGCAATAGTTATATTAACGTTGGACCCCAGACTCATAATATGATGTTAAAACATTTCAGGGATAGTCCTCTGAACCTATACTCGGCCCAGCCCAATTTAATATAAAAAGTAGGAAAATACATCCCTCCCCCACAAACTTACCTAGAGAAAAGTTTGTTGCAGGTCCGGAACATTTGTCGAGCTACAGTTTTCATGATGTCTGTCCGACCAAACTGGGCCTGTACGCCACTAAAAAAAAAAGGTCAGGAAAAGGTCTCAGGTTTATATCAGTTCAACGATGAAACATGATTTGAGAAAACACACTGGGCGTTGGAATTCATGAAATAATAAGTGTTATTCTCCCTGCTGGTGGTGGAGTGCACAGAAAGCTCGCTCACCACCAGCAGCAGCAGTAACCTAAATGAACAGGTGTAATGAGTTTCAGCTGATTACTTATTATCTCGCGCCGCCGAACGCACAGTGCAGCCCAAACAAATATTTATCATGGGAAGTTCCGATCGTCACTACGAAGTCAACTCCCGTCTGGAAAAGTAGGCTACTTTATTGTTATTTTATGTAAACAAGAAAAACATGTCTTTCTTATGTGTACAAGTAAGGGATTGTGTCGCAAGTGCAGACATCTTGCCTCAGGTGGCGTTCATTTTCAATGAGGGTGCGTTCAATGTTTATTTTTTTTCATGCATGATCCTGGTACCTCTATGAGAAAGCAGGATGAATGCTTTTTTTGCAGATTGAACCCATTTTTTGCTGAATCAGATATGGACAAATCCAATACAGTTTAAATCACAAACAAGCTGTTTTCTGTCTTATTATACTATTCTGATGCAAAAGCAATAGTAAAAATGTACACATTTTTATCATCATTATAAACCAATATCATTAATAAACTTCCATGCCATGATAGGCTATTTCAATGGACTACATGCAAGTCAAAGAAAATGTCACTTAGCACTTTTATTATGACTGCCATTTAGTCCCTTTTTGACTTTAAGATGCAATTTTTTCGTGTATTGTGTATTTATGTTGTGCTGTGTATGGTGAGTGCTGTTTTACTAGTGCCAAAGACAAAGGACCATCTCATGTAAATGTAGAAATCTGAATCTGAAGGGCGTGGCTCAAAATATAGGCCTCCTCCAGGAAAATAATGATGTTTGGGACGATCTTGAAAGAAATCCTAAAGAAATGTAAAGTTGTAAAACGTATTTTTTCTTTCAGCTTTATGTCTGTAATTTAGTTGGATAAGAGTGAAAAGAAAGTGGCCAGGGAAAAGAAAGTTTGGGGCTCTCTGCTGGAACTGCTACCTCCGCGACCCGACCACGGATAAGCGGGAGAAGATGGATGGATGGATGGATGGAAGAGTGAAATATTTATCCTTTCTTTGTTTCATTTATGGGCCTCAGCATGTCTGCACTCATCCTAAATACAAGTGGGAGAATTTGACATTTAGTTTGAAAGCAAATATGTATTGAACAGTTCTCAATGAAAACCTCAGCAAAGTCAACTTGGGGGTAAAATGGGCGAAGAGGACAGTTCAGAACTTGTTTATGGAAATGTTTTTCAAAAAATCCAAGTATTTGTTAATAATTCATTCATTTGTGTGATATTGTGATAAAAGACACACTAAGCAAAGAATGAATCAGGGCTCTTGCTGCAGTAAAAGTAAATAGTTTACAGGTCAGCTGCTTCAACAGGTTGATGTAGTTCAGAGCTCACCAACATCACTGTTTATTGGTGTGCATTCATGTGTCAGTCACAAGGTTAGAAACAAAGTTCACCTAATGTTCTCTCAGCCCGTCACAAACATTCAGGATGCTGAAAACAACAGACATGCTTCTTCTCCTCATCTGTCTTGTCGGGACATCGGATTCCCTGTACAAACAGTGGATTCCTGACACCAACTATGAGAACAAGACCAACTGGGACAAAGAATCTGTTCCATGTGGCAACGACATAGTTCAGTTTCCAGTCCAGAGAAAAGTGTCCGTGTTTGTGGAGACCACACATGCTGTGCAGGAGATGAGGCTGCCAGTGGATGGAGAGTTCATCCTGAATTCCGGAGCTGGATTTTATGTTGTGAGTGGACAGGATCCGGGCTGCGGAGCGGGTGTTACGACAAAGTTCAAAGATTCTGAGTCTCTTCAATGGTTAAACCCAGCTCTGTGGCAGGGGTCTGCAACCCTGGATGACCTGCAGCGTGGAAACTTCTTGTTCTCAGTCCACGAGGAGAGTGTCCCTTGCCAGTACGACGATGTGGTTTTTAAAGCCAGCTCTTCATTCAGGGTGGACACCAGCACCAGTCAATCTTCTATTCCTGTCAAATCTGTGTCTGTGCTGGGGAAGAAGTATGAAAGCACCTCTGAGTTCACCCAATATCTCAGCTCACGTTCAGGCCGGCTGCAGTTTCACGGGTCCTCTGCTGTCACTGTTGGGAACCAAGAGTGTGGAGATCCTTCTGGCTGCGCCTGTGGGAATTCTGTAAACCATAAGCGTATCTGTAGCACTGTTCAATGTGCCTCTCTGGGCTGTAAGAAGCCTCTCCTCCCTGTCGGACACTGCTGTGAAGTTTGTGGTGCCATTGTCACAATCCATTTTGCCACTGGTTTCAACCTGCAAACTTACAGGCAACGCATCCATCACCTATTTCTAGTTTTGCCAAAATACAAATCCATTCAGCTGGGCATGTCTAAAATCTTCAAGTCACAGCAGTTGATGGGGATCATCCCTTTTGGTACCTCACCTGAGATCCAGGTGGTTATTGTGGATGAAGAGAAGGGAATACAGTCAGAGGGTCTGGCCAGGGACATATTGAAGGATGCACGCTCTAATGGCTCAAGCCTGGGTATCACTGAGGCTGAATTTCAAGCCTCCTCCGGGAACAGCAGCGATCAGACTGGAGGCAGTGCTGGGATGGTGGTTGGAACTGTGTTTGGAGTTTTGATTGGGATTTCAATCATAATCACTTTGGTCTTTCTGATTCGTAGAGGGGTTATCCAAATGCCATCATCGCTGCCTTCGCTGCCATCGCTGCCATCCCTGCCATCTCTGAGCAGCTTTAGGAGAAGCAGAGATGTGGAAGACCTCAATGGGCCTATTGATCACGGTTACGACAATCCAATTTTTGACAAGCCAAACTTGATGCCTGAAGCTCCTGGACTGTATGCGACTGAAACAAAAAATTCAATCTCCATGACTCAGTCAGGTGTGCACTTTGTAAATCCGGTTTATGATGATAATGAAACTGATTTTAATGCCTGAAGGTGAACAAGTAAACTTTTAAGATGTCAATGATTTAAAAAAAATGACTTAATGGTATTAACTTAATTTTACAGACACTTCATAGACAAAAAATATCTTCTTAAAGCTTTATTGCTTTTTTTTTCAGCAAGTGTGTATGAAAGGCAAATAAAAGAAATGCTGGCAGACATTTGTGTACTTTTCTTTTCACCATCTGTTTTAAATTCAAGAGCAGTAAAGCTGCAGTAAATTCCTAACACACCTACTGCTGCGAAGGTCTCTTAGGTCATGTTGTAGAGTTGCCACTAGATGGTAGTAAATGTAACCTTAACTGACATGTATGTGAAAAAATCCTCCATATGAACCATAAAATTAGATAACTTGTTATGTAACCTCAATAAACATTTATAAGGCACTCTATACTCTTTAACAAGCTTACAGTGAAGGCAGCTGAACATTTAACTTAAACAAGAGAAATGACATTGTCTTTCTTTGACAGCCAGGCTATAACATATAAGGGCTCTATAAAATCAACCATGTACTTGTGTAGCAGCTGCATAGGACCTGTTACATCAAAGAAAGACAGAGAGCCCCTTTCAAAATCTACATATAAGCCAATTCTTGTGATATCAGTGCCACCCAAAGGCGTCTCCACACCAGTATGCCAGGCAAAGAAGCCTCGGCTGTTCCTTCCCATGCACCAGGAAAAGTCGTTCTCACTGATGCAGCTGGTGCTTTGCTCTCCCTTCCGATCGATGCTCTTGTACGTGACTCCTACATGTGCTCCCTCCCCACTTAGCTCTGCTTCCATATAGTGCCTCCCCAAGTAAAGGCTGTCCGAAGTCATTGCTTGACGCCAATAATCAAAGCGAGCAATGTGTTCTGGGTAGCTGTGCTGCCAGGGGCTGGTGTTGGTCAGCTTTCTGTTGCCATCCGTTGCACGGAGAAAGTGATGGGTGGTGTCTGGGTCAAAGGTCAAACTCCTTGTGTCTACAATATAGGGGATATATAGCTGGTGAATCATTCTAAGTTAAACATTCAAAGTCAACAAATGGTAAACACAGATATAATATATATACAAAAAGTGTATTTACATTTTAAAAAGTCCTCTCGGGTCTCAGGATCAGGCAATGTTGAAGGTTCAGAGTCTTGCATCAGGGATTTAGTACCTAGTTTATATTATGCAGAAAGATTGTTGGGTTTATTGTAAGACAAGAAGATGTGTAAATAGAGGTTTACAAAATAACGCTGAGCAAAGAAAGATGAAAAAGCATAAGCACAGCAGTCGTAGTGGCCTTGTGAGGCAGTGGCACTGGGATGGCTAAACGCATGTCTAAACAGAGGAAGGTGCACTCTTCACCAGGTTTGTGGCCTTCTCCTCTTCAAAATGAAGAGTTTAATCCTACACAATTGTCCTAATAGCTTCTTTAAAGTCACATGGATTTTTAGAAATTAACAAAATAACTGTACTCATCTTGTAACAACAACAACAACAACAATCCATGCTTACATATGGTGCACTGACCTCTAAGAGGGAAAAGTTATACAGATATATATTTATTATTTCAATTTAAAGGAATATATTGTTCATCATTTTATAATCTGGACTAGCCTAATTATTCAAATGTAATCTTCATTCACTTTTCAGCTGCCTTTTGTGAGTTGATAAAAAGTACAACTGATTGTATTAAAAGGGGCTTTTGATATTGTCTCTTAATGATTACGTGAAGCACCTAAATCGAATTAAAGTCAAAATCAAATCGTGGCAGACATTGTGATATCAGCAAATGTATTGTAGCAGTTGTATGTTTGAACTGATATAAGAGCAATTCTGATCACATTTCACTCCTAGTTACAAGGTACACTGAAGAAAGGAAGTCTCAATCCGTTTTGTCCATGGTAAGCTTAAGATAGGAATTTATATTGATAGAGTATGAACTACACTCACCACTTTTACATTTCAGTCTTTCTGTGCAGGACGAGAGTATCAGGTCACACAGCTCCTTGGTAGTATCTGTCACAACTTGGACAAAGGAAGTTAGATGGTTCATGGGGTTGATGCAGGGGCTAGGCAGACATACATCTGCCACTCCTTTATTCCACTCTGAGTACTCCTGGAACAAGCAAACAAAAGTGACATCTATTAGTGTGTGAAACGAGACTGTTGAATGATATGCAACTGCTTTGACCCTGATCTCTGCAAAAATAAGTGAAATGCCTGTTCTGTATATACTGACAACACACAGTCGTCCAAAGTAAACTCCTTGTCTAAGAGAACTTCCTGTGCTTATCCCAGATCATCTGAGACAAAAGGCTTATTTGTTTTTATCTGAAATATTTGAGATATGTTGTACCTGCAGGAAGTCAACATCTGACTTGCTCCTGGAGAGTTTATTCATTTGAGCCAAAGTTTTCTGCAGCTCTGTTCTCTTCTGCTCCAAATGTGCCTGGATGCCCTCAGCCTGTCTCAGGGCCTGTCTCTGCTCTCCCTCCAGCACCTCCTTCACCCCTTTCCTGGCCTCCTCCACAGTTTTCTGCAGCCTGGAAAACTGCTGTTCAACAATAACACAAACCTCCTGCACTGAAGACTGAAGAGCAAGAGGAATAAGAAAAAAAACATAATTCAAACCAGACCAGTGTGCATTAAATGAATCGAAGGAAAATGTGTGTTGGTGTATGTTTGCCTATAACATACCTTTATTAAGTCAGTGTTGTCCTGGAGCTTTCCAATTGCTTTCTCAGCTGCTGAGGAGCTCTGACCGATCTCTTCTTGTTTATTCTGCATCTCAGTCTAGAGGACAAACAATTGTAACTAACACATAAAAAACAGTCGCTACAAAGATATCAGGCCATTACATATGACATAAGTACTTAATATGACGTAATATTCAATCCTTTTGGTATGTTGAAAGGGGTGTTTTTTTTGCAGTCGAAGCCACCTTAAGAAATGGCACAAATAGCAAAGATAACCATTACAACATGACCTGTCTGTGTTGAATAAATTGTTGTGTTGTTAAGACCTCAATCTGTGTCCGTGCCTCCCCCACAGATGCAGTCGTGTGCCCCTCGTGCTCCTGGCTCTCACACTCCAGACACAAACAGCAGCCGTCCATCAGACAGAAGCGCTCGAGAGGAAGCTGATGAACCTCACAAGTCCGACAGTCGATGTCGTGCAGAGGATCCACAAGCCGGTGGTTTTGAAATTTCGTGTTTTCCAGATGGGGTCTGAGATGGGCTTCGCAGTAAGAAACCAGACAGGTCAGGCAGGATTTTAGGGCCTTGTTAGGGCTGTCGATGCAGGAATCACATACCACATCTTGTGGGAGCAGCATCTCGGTGGTAGGATCCCTCACTTCCTTATTGAAGTCGGTGTTGTTTTGAATATCCTTCAAGTTTTCCTCATTATTGCTGCTGCGCGTGGCCATCTTTGACAGTTTTCCTTCGACACCTAAAGCTGTTTTAGGCGGTAACCACAACACAGACTACTTTTTGCTGCTCGTTTCTGAAATCTAAAGACTGCCAGAGTGCATAAGGAAAACATTTAAAACCACACCTGAAGTATTTCAGCCAGCTGAACATTTCTCAATGTTCGCCCCTCCCCTGTTTAACTCTTCTCTTTGTTCTGTATCCACACTCGCCAAGCTTAGGATACAGCAGATGAGAGGAGGAAATGACGAGTTTATCATGACTAAGCCAGGGAGGGAATAAACATCCTTTCCTTAATTCTGTTAATGACCTGGCTTAGTTACTCATTTTACTTTCCCTGGTAAAGTTGGGTTTAAAGGTTTATTTCAACAATAATAGTTACACAAAAACCGGTAGTGTCTGGTTCCTACTGCCAATAAGAAAACAAGTTGAAAAATCATCTCTAAAGTCTATGTATAGTTTAGCTTTTGGTTACTGAATGTGGCTAAAGGAATCAAGAGGGAGACAGTGTTTCCTTCTGATAACAGTGTTATGTCAGAGGCATGGAGCTTCCAGGCAACACCACTTATCTGCAGAACAACTTCCTGATTGATTTCGGGTCATGGAGTACAGAGGCAACAGTGACACTTGTCTTTTGTGTGTGAACAGCATGTGAGGATTTTGGCTGAAGATGCCCAAACAAGAATGTTCCACTCTCTGTGTCTCTTCCACTTCCCCACACACACACACACACACACACACACACACACACACACACACACACACACACACACACACACACACACACACACACACACACACACACACACACACACACAGTGTAGAAAGCTCTGGTGGTACTACTACATTTTTGTAATTTTGATAAAAGTGGAAAAGTTATAAAGAACCACAATTTTGACATTTTGACAAAATCCCAAATTGTGCCACATTTTATTAAGCTTGAACCAATAATTATCCCAAAAAGGCACCTCTTAAAATGTGAGCAGCTTAAAATGTATGGATTTATTTGTTAGCAATTTTAAACAAGTAGTTAACAGTAACGAATGCAATACATTATGTAAAACTACTCGGTATACAACAGTTGGAGAACTGTTAAATTGTCAACACTAACATTAGTTATTTACAAAAGTTAATCAATCTATATGCAAAATATAGAACAGAATGATTTATAAAATGATCTAAAGACACTGTTTTCACATTCTGAAGAAATCAGGAATCTCCATGAACAATTGGCCTGTAATAACAGTGAGCCACAATACGACAGTCTTTCTGTAAACACTCACAGAGAAGGAAACAGTGGCTGTGGGTGGACATTTTGCCCAGAATGTTGTGATTGAAAGAGTTAATAATAAACTAACAATGAATTTAATGTCAAAAGTATTTATGAAAAAGACACCTTTAAGCAAATGCACAGGCACAAGCAATGCAGGCACATGAGGTGGTAAGATTTACCCCACAGGGGCAAACATTTTCAGGGGACACTGGCCCCACAATCAGTCCTCTGTTAACAGTCTCACATGGCATGCACAGGACTGCACTCTGAAAATGGTCTTTCAGTTTGTTAAACCATGCAGTGCAGGCGACTCCCACCATCCAACATACAAAACATATTTGCAGTGACTCTCCTAAGGCTAACAAGACACTGAATCCTACAGAACCCTATGAGGAATTTGTCTCACAATCACCTATTCTTGCTTGACACATTCATCTTCACAATGTCTTTTCTTCTTTGTTACCACTGAGGTACCAGGAGAGGTAAATCATTATGTCTTCCCTGTCCAAATCTTCACTCCACAATGCTCCCCTGAACATTAAGCATGGATGAGCCCACATCATGAGGAGCCATATAAAACAACTTTCATTATCTGCAGGACAGAATTAAGTGAAGAAACAGTGGGTTACCGAAGACAATCCATGCTGGATTTCAAAGACACCATAACAAATATCTGCATATTTCCTCACTACGCTCTACAACAGAAATTCCCATCAGTCACAGTTGTGTGTCCTCTATGTAGTCTGGGTCTTCTATGGTCTCCATCCGTCTCTTACAGGCCTCTAAGATCTTTTTCCTTGGTCCTAAGGGGATGTGGATACTCTTGAGGTCATGGTCAGAGCACAGCAACAGAGCTTCAAGGTCAATCTTCTCCCTCTTAAAAATGGAGATAAAGTCACCCATGCTCTGAGTGGCAAGGAACACCTCCAAAGGGCTTGTGTCAGCCTCGTCATCGTCATCCAACCCTAATTCAACGTCTTCCCAGGGCAGCTCCTCCACGTTCCTCTCCTGAAGGCTGCGTGCACTGCCGATGCTGTCTTCATCTGCACTCGGGTAATGCTGCAGCCGACTGCGTAAACGCACATTATTGCCTGACTGGTCCACACTGTCCTTATCTCGACCGCCAAGGTCAAACATCCCCCCACTCACATAGTTCCTTCTAAAGACCATCGTTCCCAGACCAGGCCTGTTGAACAGGGAATCATGTCCTGAGTCAGTGCTGATCTCAGAGTACTCCACATCGGGCCCGTGGAGGTCCGGCTCGCTCATGGCACGTGAAATGGCATCGTAATTGTCTCTGGGGAACATGTCACGAACGTTGGGACGCCCACGGTCCTTAGGGTTGACGTAAGTCCCCTGTTTGACAAACATGACATCATTGCCCAGCTGAAGTCCAGAGAGAGAGCGAACACTCTTCCTCCCCTCCTCATAGATTTTAAATGTTCCATCTCCTTGTTTCCTCTTCTCCAGCTTCCTCTGTATCTTGGTCTTCCCGCGGTTTGTGGCATGAAGAGTAGCCTAATACGACATAAATAAAAACGGTAATTAGTCACAATAACTAATTAAAGATTCAAATGTTTCAAACATTACTTATGACCAATTTAAATTATTACACAGGACATGTCAATGGTCCACAAAATAATATAAACCAATATTGTGGTTTATGACCAAATACTTTTAAGACTAGTAATTTAATAATCAGTTGTAACATCTGTTAACATAGCTCTTTAGCATTGTCACTGTGACCATGTTAGAATTCAGCTTAGTCTCTTCATGTCATGCACTAATTAAAGAGGAGGGATTCAAAACTCTTGTCTAGTTGGCAACCTGAACAAAGCAAACATGCCAAACAAAACAAACTACCCTTTAAGAATACAAAATAAGAACTCCTGACCTGAGAATATGGCACGCTGACTGTGGCTGAATTTAATTTGTGCAACTTGTGGCTAAGAGAGCTGCTGCTGTAACTGGAAAAGCTCATAACGTCTGATGCGGAGGCCTCAGAAGTCTCCTTTTGAAACCGCCGCTCCATGCGTTTGTGGTGTTTCTTCTGCATCTTCACGCATTCCTTTATTCGCCGCTCAGCATCGCGAAACGCCCTGTCCCTCATCTTGCTGACCAGCTTCGTGTTGAGGCCTGTCTGCTTGGTGGCGATGTTATCCAGGTAGCGGACGCAATCCATGTGATTCTTTGTGGCTGCCATGTCCAATGGCGTGTGGTAGTCGTTATCCAGGCACCAAATGTTGGCACCAAAAGACACCAAGAAGAAAAGGCAGTTGAGGTGACCATTGGCGGCTGCCAGGTGGAGCGGCGTGTTCCCCCATATGTCACACTTGTCAGGGTTTCCTCTGTGGGTCATAAGAAAGATATTAGATACAGAATTTTCTTTAAGATTGACTAAAATATTTTCAGCTCTTGTTTTGACTGTCATGGATACCGGTTGTCTCCTTGGCCTTTTGTTTGGATGACATACTCATGAGTAAGCATGTGATTTTTTGATTATGTTTTCAACACTGACCTTACAACACTGGGGCCTTATTTAATAATGCATCATCTAAACACCAAATTGCCCTTTCGGAAATCCAAGCACAGATCTTTTGTAAAACAAATACTTTTTAAAAGGCTTTGACCAATTTGCAAACAGTATGTCTTGATTAAAATGAAAATAATTAGACTATTATTCATAACTGCAACTAAGCAACATTTACCCTTGTCTGACAATCCGCGACCTTAGGGTTACCTCTATGTGTGCCTGTTGCTGTCTTGTCTGTAATATGACCACAGGCTGGCCAACAACACTGCTACACTACCTGTATCTAGTTTCAGGGGAGGCCATATAGGTTGCTCCTGACTCAAAAAGCACATTTGTGCATAGCTGGTGATGTCATGCTGAATTCCTTCAGAAAAAACATACAGTATTACAGCTGTTTCAATGATGCAGAGGCTGTCTGCAGAGTACAGTTGAAAAGCAAAATATTGAACTCAATATTTGCATTTTCACATTTTTTGTTTCCATTTAGGATCTTACTGATATTAACATTCCAAGAAAAACAGGATTTATTTGTGATATATTGTATAGAGCATGTTTTTGGCCGCAACAATTTGATATTTGTTACCCTTAAATTATTTGCATTTATATTTTTCAGTTTGGAGACATCTCATTGGTGTCACACCCAATGCAGCCACATACAGACTGCTGAATATTTTATACGGTAGACATGAAGCTACTGTCGAAAGGTGAATGTATTATTGATGGATTGTGTTGTAAGGTTTTCACAGGGAATGTGTGTCAGAACGGCGAGACCCAACCTGGGCAGCAATAAGCAAAGTCCCACTCTGATTTCAGCCCCCTTGCTCTTTTCTTTCTGGACAGGATTTGGTTTCAAAAGGAAACGGCAGCTTCAGGATCAGGGGTTGTTGAAGTTCAACTTAAGGGAAATGGTTGTCAACCGAGTGCATGATAGACAATATTTGGGAGCACACCAGAAAGAGACAATAAAACAATGGTCCAACAAAGGAACTGTTAACCCTGCGCTGAATACATATAGGAACATAAAAAGCCATAAACTAATTTCAAGAGATAACAATTTTTTAGCCATGATCAATTTCGATTTTGAGATGAAATATTTATCACCCTCATATTATATACAGTATGCTTGTTGTAGGTGGAGAATTTATCTAAAAAGATAGCTTAATCTGACATAATTTATGTCTGTCCCAGTAAAATGCTGAGTGCAGCAGTGATAGTTCTACCTACTTATCCCTCCCCCTGTTATTTATTGCATTATAGGTTGTTTGCTTCTTCATTTCCTATGACAGCTTGATGTTATTGCAGGTCACGCAGTGCAATATACTATACGCTGCATGGCAACTTTCCCATGAAATTGTCAAACGGTATTAAAGTTCTCT